CTATGATATGCTGTAAAAATTCTGTAAAATACTTCTTTTGAGATAACAAAAGTACTCTATCCATGGGTAAAATTCTTACTGAGTTAATAAACCTTTTGTAAAATAAATATAAAACTGGAATCTCACTTTTTAATAGGAAAATGTTGAGATATAAATTAAAGCGGGGAGAGCTGTGTAACCCCTGTGTACTTACCTCACCTAATTTCAACAAGTGTTAATGGTTTGATACTCTTTTCTCATCCGTACTTTGTCCCCCATCTGTTTCTGGTATTTCGTATTGAATCTCAAACATATCATTCCTTCTATAAATATTCATTGTATGTTGCAAACTATTATGTATAAATTCTCATGATACCATTATTTCACATAAAATAGCATTAATTTCTTAACATTACTACCCAGTTTATGTTTGGTTGTCCCTGATCATAAGAAATATGTTTTCTCCAAATTGGTTGTTTGAATGTGGACCAGACAAGGTACACATACCTCATTTGATTGATAGGACCATGGAGTCGCTCCTAGTCTACATTCATCTCTCTTCTTCTGTTTTTCTGCACCAATGATTCATCAAAGAAACAGGTTGATTTGTATAGAATTGCTCATGATTTACTTGATTGTATTCTCATATCATTTAATGTTTGTTTTTATTCCTCTGTTTCTTATGAACTAGTATATAGATATAGAGGATTTAGTATACTCAAGATTTTTCTTTTTCTGGTGACCAGACTATTTCTTAGGGGTTGATATTTACTTCCTACTGCATCATTTGTCTTCTAGGCTCCCTCTTACTGATGTTTTGATTGATCATTAGGTTTAGATGTTATCAGCCTGATTCATTCATCATAAAGTTTCCCTTCAACTTTTTTTTTAAGACTTTTCTTTTTGAGATTAGTTTTAGGCTCACAGCAGAATTAAGATGCAGGCACAGAGATTTCCCTCACACTCTATGTCCCCAGCTTGCTTGGCCATCACCCACTGAGGGATGGGTATTGTTCCCCATAGCAACCTTCCACATGAGAGTTACAATCAGTGACCCTACATGGACTCGTCAAAATTGCCCAAAGTCCACAGTCTACATTTGTATTTTCTCTTGATATTGCATATTCTATGGCTTTGAACAAATTTACATGGATATTTACCCATTATTACAGTGTCATACATAGTATTCTCACTGCTCTAAAAAATTACTGTAAGTCAGTAGTTTACATTGGTTTCACTCTGGGAGTTCCTCAAGTTACATCCCTCGAGAATCATGTGTCTACCGTGATACTCTCATACAGAATAGTTTCACTGCCCTAAAAACCCTGTTTTGTCTGTTCATCCCCTCCCCCGCCACCACTGGCAATCACAGATCTATTTACTGTCTGTCCATAGTTTTTTTCTCCAGAATGGTGAGTAGTTGAAACCACACAGCATGCGGCCTTTTCAGATTGGATTCTTACACTTAGTTATATGCACTTAAGGTTCCTCCATGTTTTCTCATGGCTTGCTAACTCATTTCCTTGTAGCACTGCATAATATTCCATTGTCTAGATGTGCCACAATGTATTTATCTGTTACCTGCTGAATGGCATCATGGTTGCCTCCAGGCTTGGGCAGTTATGACCAGGGCTGCTCTAAATGTCCATGTGCAAGGTTTTGTGTGGACATAAGTTTCAGCTCCTTTGGGTAAGTACAAAGGAAAGCGATTACTAGATTGTATGGTAAGAGTATTTTTAGTTTTGTAAGAAATCGCCAAACTGTCTTCCATGCTGGCTGTACTGTTTTGCATTCCCATCACCAATGAATGAAAGTTCATTCCTATTGCTCCACATCCTCTCCAGCATTTGGTGTCCTCAGTGTTCTGGATTTTGGCCATTCTAATAGGTGTGTTGTGGTATCTCGTGTTAATTTATATTTCCCTGATGACATAAGATTCAGAGCATCTTTTTATTGCTTATTTGCCATCTTTATATCTTTTGTTCAGATCTTTGATCCATTTTTTAATTTGGGGTGTTTGCTTTATTTTTGAGTTTAAAGAGTTCTTTGTTTATTTTGAATAACAGTGCTTTATCAGCTATGTCTTTTGCGAATATTTTCTCTCAAGCTGTGGCTGGTCTTCTCATTCTCTTAACAGTGCTGCTTGCAGCAGACATTCTTAATTTTAATGAAGTCCATCTTATCAATTATTTCTTTCATGGATCATGGCTTTGTTGGTGTTGAATTTCCCTTCAGCATTTTACCAAATGATTGTAGGCAGTCATTGTGAATATTCCCTAGATCTTCTGTTTCATTAAAGTTGCAAGCAGGTCCTTGAATAATGTCATTTTATTCAATATCAATTTGTTATAATGTTGATGAGATGCCACAGAAACTTAACTCTTGTTCATATCAATTAGCCTGTCCTAAAATTAGTTTCATTATATGTTGTTTCAATTAAAGTTGCAGAACCTATCAATGACATTAATTATGGACTTAAAATAGTCTTTTTGTATCATTCGTTCTGTATTTCTTACCTTCAGTTCTTTGAAGAATATTCTTTTATCAGTTTTTTTTTTGGTTACCCTGATGTTCAATTTTTACAGGAAAGGAAGGGTAATAATTTCTTTTTATTATGTTTATCAATTTTCAGAATAATGAGTTAATGCCTCAGCAACCTACAAATATGATTAAGGTTTAAAGTGCCCTTATGAACTTATGGAGCTTATTTATTTGATGTGTTTAATTCATTTCAGTCATTATTTTTAGTGGTCAGATCACTTCATTGTACTGGGGTGGGGTTCCCTAAAGTTTTCTGTTGTATCCTCATGACCTAAGCTAGTATTTTCTTTAATAACCTCATTGCTGTCTGGCTCAAGATTTCCTAAACCTTGTGTTACACTCTGTGTTCCAGACCTTATTTCCTTTAGAGACCAAGTCAGTGGGAAATGGAATTTAGAGACTACAGTCTGGTTGCTAGTAACCTTATTGTTTCTAGGTTGTTATTGCTCCTAGATCTTTAACAAAAGCACTGGATTTTACATATATTTCAGTATAGGATTATGTTTTTATCTTTTTTGGGGTGAGGGGGCGGTGCAAGGTAAAACAGCATTAACCCGGTTCAGTCAAGCTGATCAGTCACTTGGTAGGGACATACTTTCCCCAGGTGCTTTTGTAGGCACTGGTGCACTAACCTGAGAGTGTAGCCCTTGCTTTCAGGGAGGCTCTGGACTTGGCCTTAGCATCTAATGGGATGACATGTAGAAAATAAATTTGTACTTAATAAACAATAAATAGATAAAGTGCAGAAGTAGCAACATCAGGAAAGTCTTGTACTTCATGATAAAGAGGATAGACTTCAACAAGAGGCAAAAGAGAAACACTTGAGAGAGTTTAGGTAGAAATTCAAAATGACCTCATTTTCTTCTCAGAATGTTCATTCTGGTAACAGTAAGGAAAATGGATTAGGAGAGGAGATGGCAACAGAGGGAGAGTAGGTAATAGAGGCATACGTTTACTTTGAGTTTACAGACTTGTGTCTAGAATAGTGCTTGGCATATAGTGGGCACTCAGTATTTGTTGAATGAATGAACAAAAGGTTATTGTGTTAATCTAAACAAGTTAAGTCTGAAGAAAAATCATACAGAAAGGGAGCCTACATTCTGACACTCCTACCTGATTCATGTGCTAGTTTACTAGTGTCTTACCGTAGGATTTTCACAAACTAATTAGTGAAGCAACCCAACAGAAAAATAGTCAGGGGATGTGAATGGCAAGCTCATGAAAGGGGAAATCTGAGCAATGGCTATACATGTGAAAATATACTCAGGAAAATATGCTTCACCAATAACCAAAGAAATACAAATATCATTTAAATCTCATGTGATGGCAGAGTATGTAGAAGTCTGAACAAAACCCAGTCTTGCCCAAGAGAAATCTCTGGGACTCTTGCACGCTGCTGGTGGGATTATAAACTGGTAAAGCCCCTGCAGAGGGCAGCTTGTATCAACATTCAGGGAGTCGGAGGATGCTTTCGGCTTTGTGTCCGCATTTCCATTCTGGACATAAACACTAGAGAAATGGTCATACTCGTGCCAGGAGACCTGTTCAACAATCTTTATAGTAGAATTCTTTGTTATACAAAAAGTTTGGAAATAACATAAATATGGATATTTAAGAGAGTAGATATATTTTAATATAGTTATATAATGGCATAATATTCTACAGTAATATGAATAAACCAAAGCTATTCAAATAGAACTTGAATATTTAAGTCACAAAATATTGACTGAAAAGCTTTCATAGTGATGTCACTTATATAAAATTAAGTATGCAGAATAATGTTATTACATGTAAAATAGTAGATAAAATGTCCAATTTTTACAAAATTACAATTCTAAATATGTAAAAATTACAATTCTTAAAATTACATTCTTAAAATTACAATTTTTAATATGTCTTATCTATGAGGAGGAAAAGCAAAATGTGATTAGGGGAGGTTAGACATTGGGCTCCAGGTTATTTTTTTCTTAATAAAAAATGTCAGAAGCCCTGGCTGGTGTAGGTCAGTGGATTGAGCACAGGCCTGCGAACCAAAAGATTGCAGTTCTATTCCCAGTCAGGGCACGTGCCTGGGTTGCAGGCCAGTTCCCAGCAGGGGCCAGTTCCCAGCAGGGGATGCACCAGAAGCAACCATACATTGATATTTCTCTCCTTCTCTCCTTCCCTTCTCTTCTAAAGATAAATAAGTTAAATTTAAAAAATAAAAATATTTTTTTAAGTATAACAAGGAAACATTTTTTTTAATGTCAGAGGCAGCAAAATTAAAATTTAGAAAAGCTAGGTAATGTGTAGACAAGTATCTTTTTATTTTTAATATATTTAAAATATTTCTAATGGAGAAATCTTTTGAGAGTAGAGAATTTAAGAATTATTCTTTTTCGCAAAGTAAAATACTGTCCTAGAGTCTAAATACTTTTAATAATTTTTTACTTTTTCAGGTTTGACTGATTAATTAGCTCAGAAGCTCTTTGTTGTTTCAGAAGTTTCTTCAGCAGCAATGGCCTGTTCACTGCCAACAGCAGTTCCAGAATCTCCTAGAATTTATCCTGCAAGGGCATCCAAAATACCTCGAACACCCAGGTTGCAAGATCCAAGCAAAACACCAAGATTTTATCCTGTTGTTAAAGAACCAAAAGCCATTGATGTAAAGGTAAACAAAATAACCAGGATATAAAGTCTGCGCTTTGTATCCTTTAACATTACAAAATGAGGCTATTTCTGTCATATTCAAAACGTACATTTTAGATTGTAAAAATCTGTTAAAAATTATATTTTTACCATAGTGATGTTTTCTCAGGAGTAACTTCTTACAGTTGGATAGTATAATTAAAGATCATCGGAAGGGGTAAAGACGAATTATACTAAGTTGTATTTTCTTTAATCCTTGGGTTGAAACCTAGGCAAGGGCCTTGTTTAAGTTTTGTAGCTTGTATGTGATATGTTTGAGTTTTGTGACTTCATATGATTTCATAATGTGTCATCCACAGGATGAAAATGTTGGAGTTGGCTTACAGTCAGAGGGTTTTAATTTACTTTTGAAGTTCACACCCCTGAAAGTAATTGCAATGTTTGACTTTTCTTTAGAGTCCAAGAAAGAGGAAAACAAGACATAGTACAAATCCCCCTCTGGAGTGTCATGTTGGTTGGGTGATGGATTCCAGAGATCACGGGCCCAGAGCATCCTCTGTCAGGTACTATACTTGTTTTTGATTTTGAGTTTCATGAAAATAGTTGCTAATTAGATATTTATAAATACTTAAACATGAATTTGTTAGCAAATAATAGAATAATGAAAATACTGAAAAGAAACCAAAGAAGGAACAGTAAATGCTTTTTGGATGATCTGATCTTTTTTCCACTCTTTTTCTGATAAATTTGATGAATCTATATTCCAGTTTACTGATTCCTTCCTTAGCCCTGTCTTGTTCAGTATGCTGATAAGCCCATCAAAGGAATTCTTCTGATACCTGTGTCATCTTGCAGTTTTTTCCCTAATCTCTAACGGATTTCCTCACACGAGTGGGGCTCCTGAGCCTGTCTGTACCCTTCATTTCTCAGCAGGTGCCTTTGCCTTCTATTGTACAGCAGGAATTCTTTCTCTCTCCTTTCTCTTATCTCTCACTGCCCCTTCTTTTAAAAGGTCTTTTTTTTGGGGGGGGGCGCTGTTTGTGATGTGTGTCAGTAATGGTTCTGTCATTGTAGTGAAATTATTTAATGCCAACTAACACTATGTTCTTTCAATAATGCCCCAGGCACTGTGCCCAGTGTTTTTTACAGGCATTATATAAGTTTTTGTATATGTCTTCAGACAGTAAATTCATGGATGGCAAAACCTCAGTGCCTGGCATAGGTGGTACTCAGTAAATGACCAGGTTAATGAAACTGCCTTCCCCGTGCGAAGACACTTATGTAACCTTGTGTGAACAAATGGTGTTGTGTATAGAACTTCTTCTAAAACTTTAATTTTTCCCTGGTTTATTTGGTTTACATGGTTCCTAATCCTATACAGACATTTCAAAGCACATTTGCCTTTTTCCAAGAGCCTCCTAAATTTCAACTGGTTTTGCTTGGTTAGAAAAGTGATATTAGCCTTGGAAATTTACATGTATAATATTAATTAACCACACAGGAAAAGAGGCTTTTTTTTTTGTATTTTGGAGATTAAGTGCATCATAGGCAGGTTAAACTTTTATTCATCCTTCGAAATTTTTTTGAATACCTGATTTGTGAAAAGTTCTACATTTGGTGGAATGGTTTATTAAGATGAACATAAATAGTAATTCATCTGTATGTCATTACATTAGTTTAGGAGAGTGTGGGGGACTAATGTTTCTTCTATGGCTTATATTTTCACTAATGAACAAATAGTGTGAACTGGTTTAGATACTTGGTTGTTGATACTTTAGTTTGAAGGCTTTTTCCCCCCTCCTCAAACAGCAGTTCAAATGCTTCACCTTCAGAAGGTGCACAACTGGTAGGAAGTTATGGATGTACCCCTCCTTCATTCCCCAAGTTCCAGCACCCTTCTCATGAGCTCCTGAAGGAAAATGGCTTTACCCAGCAAGTGTACCACAAGTATCGTCGGAGGTGCCTGAGTGGTAAGATGCTTGTCTGTATATAGCTATGTTTTAAATCACAGTATAATTCTAAAAAGCTCAAATTGTGACATTTAATATCAGGTTAAGATATCCTTTTATTTGTTAGACTTATTACTTAGGTATTTAAGTGTATTTATATATATTCTTATGTATTTTGTAGCTTATACACATTAAGAAATAAAGTTTATTATATTCTTGTTCCTATTGACAAATGCTTAAATTTGAGCAGTGAGTCAGAAAAGGAGTTAATACTTGTCCTTTGCTTAGAAGAAACCCAAATACATTTTGAAGATGAATATGCTTCATCTTTCTCTATTTTAAATTATGTAAAATGTCTGCTGTTTTGAATTTAATAAGGATCTTTAATTTTAAAATGTTTTGTTTTAACCTTTTCCAGAGAGGAAGCGCTTGGGAGTTGGCCAGTCCCAAGAAATGAACACTCTCTTTCGTTTCTGGTCTTTTTTCCTCAGAGACCACTTCAACAGAAAAATGTATGAGGAATTCAGACAACTTGCTTGGGAAGATGCAAAAGAAAATTACAGGTCAAATATTTTTTTGTATGTTCACACTTGGAGAGTTTTTAAAAAATAAAAATGAATGAAAAGTAATCCAGTTTTGAACTATGAAAATAGTACTACATAATTGGAGGGGGACCACTGTACTAATTTTCTGTTGTTGCATAACCAAATTACCCCTAACTCAGAAGCTTAAAACAACACACACTTATTAGTCTATGGGTCAGACTTCCAGAAACAGCCCAGCTGGGTCATTCTTGCTCAGTTCTCTCATGAAATTGCAGTCAAGGTGTTGGATGGGGCCACGGCACCTAAAGACAACTCAGGCCCGAGGACCCTTTTCAGTCTCATGCACATGGCTGTGGGCAGGAGTCTTAAGTTCCCCACCACACAGGCCTCTGTGTAGGGCATGTGGCAAATGACTCCACTCAGAGGTAGTGAGTGACAAAAGAGGGAGAGCTTCCAAGAGCAAAGCCTCATTATCTTGTATAATCTGTACTTTAAAGTGACATACCCTCATTCTGCCATATTGTGTGGTTAATGAGGACCGTGGTTAATAGTTCAGTACTGTTACTGAACTACACTGGTGCAGTATAGGAGGCCACTGTACAACTCGTAGATATCAAGAGGTGGGATCATTTGGGACCATATCAGGGGCTCACATAAAGGCCAAATGAAATTTAAAGGAGACAGTTTTCTTTCTCTTGCCCCCACTGTCACAGACTTCCTGTGTATTGGGTTAGCTGAAAAGTGCTACATTTTTTCTATGTAATGGCTCTAGTTGTGCTTAGTTGTGTTTAACTTCATCTGAAACAATTTTGTTAGATTGTGTTGTGTCAGCTGTCATATCAGTGTGCATTTAAAAAAAGTAGCAAAATTGGTGAATTTTTGCGCAGCCATTTTAATATTGAAGATGGAAGAAGATGTGCAATATTTTCAGCATACTTATTATTTCAAGAAAGATGAAAACCGAATTGCAAAAATAAAAAGATTTGTGCAGTGTGTGGAAAAGGTGCAGTGACTGATGAAACATGTCAAAAGTGGTTTGCAAAGTTTCTTGATACTGTTGACATTTTGGCAAAATAATTCTTTGCTATGGGTCTGTCTTATGCACTGGAAGATGTTTAGTAGCACCTTTGACCTCTAACTCACTAGAAGCTAATAACGAGAGCCAACATACTCAAAATATCCAAATCAATAAAGTTATTGGTGGAAATGGAAAATGTGTCTTTTATTTTACGGAAAAAATATAACAGACTTTTTGGACAAGTCAGTGTTTTCATATACATCCCCACATTAACACATGCTTGAGCCAAGAAAAAGTAAGGCCTCTCATATGTCCTCACTTAGCTGTCGAATCTCACTTTTTTCTATTGTTAGTCCTCTGGGCAGCAGCAGTACTGAACTATGTGTTCTCTGAGTGAACCAAGCTCTCTAGCATCCAGATGTCTGGACATATCCTTATCTTTGCTTGTTCTCTTCCTCCTCCTGCTTAGCTAAGTTGTCCTTTTTGTCCTACTTGGACCTTACTTTTTTGAGAAGTGTTCAGAGAGAATTTTGAGAGTACCTCTAGGACTGAGTTAAAACCAGATCAAGAAGGTGAGAAGGAACATAAAGTGGACGTATGCAAACTGTTTACTCCTGCATAAAGGGATAAAGGAGAAGCGATGGAAAGAAGTAAAAAGATAATTTTCCTCTCAGTATTTTCTAGTTTATCCTTCTCCCAATTCTAAAAATAGATTCCTCTTGTAAATCTCAAATAAGAATATATTGTTGTTAATCAGATATTGTAATCTTGAAGAGAAAAAAATCTGCAAGTAAATTTTTCTGAAAAAAATTAGTCTTTTAAAAATTAAGCCCTCTTAATTTTCACCTAGAATCTTTATCTTGAGAAGGAATGACACATAGGTGGCATTTGTACCTCTGTTTTCCTTTCCTCTGTTAATTGCTGGCATCTCTAATCAGTCCCACCAGTTTAAATACTGTTCTTGAATTCAGATTTATAGTCTTTCTTATCACAACTTTAATAGCTACCATTTGCTAGTTTACCAGAGTTGACGCATTAGGCAAAATATGCCATTTCTGATCTCGATGTTTTCATTCACACTGTGGTTTATGAAATCAGTTTAGTGCTTCTGACTTGTTTTGAAAATACGATGGAAAATATAGTAAGACAGCCCTGAACATACTAAGGTTAAATTGGTTCACAATTCATATACATGCATACAAGTTTAAGAACAGTCTGAAAAACTTTCATGCTTTCATGTACACACATAATGTATACGAGTGTTGTATTGACTTGGTCACAACTTAACATGATTTTCTTACTGTTGAACCTAGAAAAGTTTGAAAGCCCAGTATTATCATGATTAAGTTCAGCATATTTTGCTATTTAAGCAAACGATGTGTTTGTTCTTCAGGACTTCTAATGCTTTTCTGATCCCATTCCTACCCAAGTCTACATTGGGAGTTCCTCTTCTCTGTTCCTGTGTATGTTTCTAACACCTTGTTAACACTGTTTTGTAATTTTGGGTCTGTTTCGGCAGTGTTAATGACTAGACTGGATTTAGCTGTTTCTTAGGAAGTAGAGAACAGTGGTTCAGTGCCAGAAGGCTTTGTAATGAGACCTGGTTTTGAGTGCTAGCCCATTAATGTGTTGTGACCATGGCAAGTTATACCCCCCGAGTTTTAGGTCCTTTATAGACAGGCGGATTATGGTGCATACCCACATAAGGCTACTGTGAAGATGAAACAAAACAGTGTATGCCGTGTTTGCTAGTATCAGTGCTGCCAAATAGGAGATGGTAGCGTCGTCATAGCAAAAATTTTATTGTAAACCTTTTTATTTCTTTTTCACAGGTATGGATTAGAATGTCTGTTCAGGTTTTATAGTTATGGACTGGAGAAAAAATTCAGACAAGAAATTTTTAAGGATTTCCAAGAAGAAACCAAAAAAGACTATGAATCTGGTAAAAACAAACCACCACAAAAATCAGTAGCTTATTCTGTTTGTTAGTTGTAAACCCGAGCCCGTCAGTACATAGGGAATTTATAGCTCTCCCTCCGGGGCAGACCACTGAAGGCCTTACGGCCACTGTTGTGGCACTCGATGAAGATGGGGCCCCACGCACAGTAGGAAGACATTGCCTGAGGCGTGAGAAAATACCTGCTGCGTTATGGAGTTGTATTCTGTCATTATTGTTCACTTGACACACAAGGCTGCTTACTCGTGGCCTCCTAGTGACAATTCTGTGTAACACCAGAAGGTGTGCTTGGAATGGTGGGGTGGCACCGTGGGCGATAGCCAGGCCCTGGCCGAGGTCCAAATCCCATTTCCACTACTTGGTAGCTTTGTGATCTGGGCCACAAAGCAGCCTTGTTAGTTCCAGTTTACTCATCAGTAGTTTATACAGAAGTACCTGTATTCCAGGGTTGTATATGCTTTACTATATAATGAATCACTTAAATAATACCTGTTACATAGCAAAAGCTCAGTAAATGTTTGCTGCCTTTACTCATTAAAATGTGTTATTCTCAAGATCTAGATAATGTATATATTGAAAGATAAAATGGTTTATTGCAGGAAGATTATGTTATATGAATCATTTTTTTAAAATTCTATATAACTTATCATGTGCATTCTTCTTTGTTATTAGGTCAGCTTTATGGATTAGAAAAGTTTTGGGCTTATCTAAAATATTCTCAATCTAAGACACAATCAGTTGACCCAAAACTTCAGGAATACCTCTGTAGTTTTAAGAGGTTAGAAGACTTCCGCATCGATGTAAGTTTTAAGTGCTTTTCTCTGTATTCTTTTCATTACCCTTATATTTTGAGCTATCAGTGACTTTCTTAACTTGTACTTTTTTCATTTTTTAACTTTTTATTTTGAAATTTTAACATCCTAGTTTTGAAACCAGACTTTAAAGCAGTACAGAGTATTCCCATGTACTCTTTTATCCAGAATCCCTAAATGTTAACATCTTATATAATCAGTGTAATTGTCAGTTCATTTCAATTTTGATATGCCCCTATAATTAAACATATTATAGATTTAGTAACTTGTATGTGGATGTGTTGCTAATTTCTCATTAGCAGCTTGAAAATTTTTCCCCTTTTATCTTACAGTTTTCGTTACACATGCCAGTATACCATGAATTCAGGGTTCCCTGCAAAATAGAAGTAGGCCAGAATGTTATGTGTGTATGTAGAGACAGCAGAGTAGGCTTTAAACAATATGGTTTCAAAAGGAAAAGGAAACTATTATAAGAAGAATGGGATAAGCCTAAGGAGGTAAAGAAAAAGGACAAAATAGAGAAAAAAGAAGGAAAAATGGAGAAGAATCAGGAAGCAGAAAAGAGAGGTGAAAGGAAGGCTAAGTTCACATCTACTTAATGCTATGACTTGTCTTGAAGTTTTGTGTCTTAAACACATTAGATGGCCTGGGGATGAAGCTGATGGAATTAAGAAATGTGTTTCTAGACTGGTCTGGCCAGATCCGTAACAAAGATGTCCCTGGTCTGTAATACTGTAATAGTGACTTTTGCCCTTTCTGAATGGAAGCTAAGAGTTCAGGCCCCCACTTCTAACTACAACAAACTATTGGCAAAGGAGATTATGGTTTTAATTTGTCTTCAAATAAAAATGTTGGTGGCATATCAATCTAGCTCTCAAATCTCTGTAACTGTAGGGCTCAAAAGGCTGACTATTTTGAAGGCAAGATGCCTTTCCATTGCCTGCCTTCTCTGTGCCTGCCGCCTGAGTGGGTTGGCGAGTTTTATGGGTACTTATGATTGAAAGTGTTTAACTTAGGTACCATCGGCCATGCTCTCCAGTCTCTTTACTCTAGAAATCCAAGATAAAACTTCAAGCTTGCTAAAGGTTATTTGACTTGATATCTCTTTTTCCTCCTGCTGCTTTATCTGTTCGTTAAATGTTACTGTTTAAGCAAGGCTAACATAGGAGGTTAGGGCTGAGGAAGGTTCCAGAGTTATAAATGCTTGGCAGTTGGCAGAAGTTGATTAAAGACAAAAAATAGCCTCTCTGAAATGTTTTCTTGGAGGCAAGGAACCCAGCCTTAGGCTTATGCTCTACTATGTAGTTCAAGCCCTAAAACATAAGAGAAGCTTAATAAACATAGTGAGTGAAAGAATGAAAAATACTAGCAATTTGATTTAGTTGGGGAGGACATTTAAGTCTAATACCTTAAATTGCTGTTAAGTTATATTATACTAATAAAAGCTACTTAAGTGCCTACTATTTCCTCTTTGTTGGAAAAGTCTAGCATTAGATTTTTAAGAGAGGAAAAACAGTGTAATCGTTGCCATGTTGTCTTTCATAATTTGCAGCCCCCTATTAGTGAGGAATTTGGGAGAAAAAGACATTCATCTACTTCTGGTTCAGAGAGTAATCATCACAGACTTCCATCTAATCCCTCCACAAAGCCACCAAATGCTGCTAAGCCTGCATCTACCAATCAGCTTCAGGTTCCAGTAAATCCTCCCAGAAAGAATACTGCGCAGGAGTCCAGTGACGATTCAAGTGTTGCCTCAGTCTCCACAAATGGTGAAGTGTCTGAGAAGTAGATGCTTATGCGAGTTGTTTGCCCTTGAAATCAACATTTACATCAGTATTTATTTGGGAAAATCTTCTGATGTTTAGTTGTGATAATCAGAAAAAAGAAAAAGGAAGAAAAGTGGTAGCATTTTTTTTTCATAGCAAGATAAATTCTAAAAACGTTTTCCCGATTTCCCAGATAGCAATAGTTTTGGTGACCTTTTATAGAGATCCTCTAATAATATATTTGATCTCAGTCTTTATTTTTCAAAACCATTGTTTACAAGAACAGCATTCCCTAAATATATTCAAAAACAATACAAGGAATGCCTGATGTTTCAGCTCATACTTCTTAAAGAAGATGCAGTATGTTGCATTCATCTCTTCTGTAGAGTTTTTTACAGACTCCAGTTACCCCACTCTCAATCCATTATTTGAACTTACCAAAAACAAAGATTACGACGTATATATTTTTTTAATTCAGGAAAAGAATATGAAACGATACAGTTGCTTTTAGATGTATCTTTTAAAGGAAACCTTTTTTTTTTTTAAACAGAAGGAGAACTATATTGCAGTTATATTAAAGCATATGCACTTTGGATGCTAGATTTTTCTTTTTCCCCTGCTAGTTATACCTCATGATTTCCACAGTTACTGTTGCGTCAGTGTGGAGTGTTGTGAATTGGCTGGTTACATATCAGGAGTGATTTACTTTTTGTGACTATATAAACCTGCAAAACCTATACTTTTCACTAATTGAAAAGTAGTGAAAACTGGACTGGAATTTGTTGAAATATTGTCCTAAATTAATTAAATCTTGCACTGTTTTGAATGTCTCTACTGTTTGTACGTGTGCAGGTGGGCATGTCACAAACATCCCCTTTAAGAGGTGTACTTAGTTCTTCCGTTTGCTTTTAGTTCTGTTTGATGCTTGTGTTTTCAAGAGTCATAGCAAATTGATTTCTAATTCTTATTGCTATTGCAACTGATGTAAATGATAGTTTCAGTTTTCGTGGGAATTAAAAAAAGAGCACTTATTCTAAACTATTTGAATTGATTTTTAATTATTTTTGTTTAGAATATAGTTGAAAGGCTGTAATAGTCAGATGTTGCTTTTAGAAGACTGTTATATTTTGTGAATAAAGTTTTAGTTATAAACATACCCATTTTTATTTAGCACATATATTTTCTTGTACTGGCAGTAGAAGCTGGTTTAATAAACTAAATTAATTTATTATTTTCTTTCTGGTGTCTTGTTCTTATAGAATGGCAACATTGAAATACATATAATGTTGTTTGCATAAGTGGGCTATTTGAAAAAAGATTTTTACTAGGTTATTTCCCATGCATAAGTGATACTATTTAATATTGGCAGGGTCATTTTGATGTTTTAATTTTAAGAAACAGTCAAATTTGAATGTTTAGAAAATAAATTTTACTTGGAAAGAGATCTTGGATAATGAAAATGCAAAACAACTAATGATTTAGAATAATAATTTTTTTAAAGATTTTATTTGTTTTTTAGAGAGAGGGGAAGGGAGGGAGAAAGAGTAGAGAAACAACAATGTGTGGTTGCCTCTCGCACGCCCCCTGCTGGGGATCTGGCCTGCAACCCAGGCATGTGCCCTGACTGGGAACTGAAACAGTGACCCTTTGGTTCACAGGCCAGCATTCAGTCACTGAGCCACAACAGCCAGGGCTAGAATAATACATTTTTTAATGTTTTCTTAAGTGAATATGTACTTTGGGCTTTTCATTGAAAAATTTCCAAACCGTGCTTATTACCTTTAAGTCATTTCTTGAAATGCTCTCAAATTTTTTCTCAATATCCCTTTTTGTATTGAACACATATTTTTGAAACCTGTATTTAACCTAAGACTTTGTACTCACCTAAAAATGCAAGTGCATATTTAATTGGAAAATTGTATATTTTATATGAAAATGCAGTAATCAAGAGTTTTGTGATGTGTAATAAATTAGTAATTTTATCATATTATTTAAATATATTTTATTGGTTATGCCATTACAGTTGCCCCTTTTTTTTGCCCTTTTATCCCCCTCCACCCTGTCACCCCCTTCCCTCCATCATTCCTCCTCCTCTAGTTCAGGTCCATAGGTCATACATATACGTTCTTTGGCTTCTCCATTTTCTATATTATTCTTAACCTCCCCTTGTCTATTTTGTACTTACCAATTATGCTTCTTATTCCCTGTACCTTCCCCCCCATTTTCCTCCCTCCCTGCTGATAACCTTCCATGTGATCTCCGTTTCTGTGATTCTGTTCCTGTTCTAGTTGTTTAGTTTTTGTTTTTGTTGTAGGTGTAGCTGTTGATAGTTGTGAGTTTGTTGTCATTTTACTGTTCATAGTTTTGATCTTTTTCTTTTTCTTAGATAAATTCCTTTAACATTTCATGTAATAAGGGCTTGGTGGTGATGAACTCCTTTAACTTGACCTTGTCTGGAAAGCACTTTTTCTGCCCTTCCATTCTAAATGATATCTTTGCTGGATAATCTTGGATGTAGCTCCTTGCCTTTCATGACTTTGAATACTTCTTTCTAGCCCCTTCTTTGCCTGTAAGGTTTCTTTTGAGAAATCAGTTGATATAGTCTTATGGGAATTCCTCTGTAAGTAACTGTCTCCTTTTCTCTTGCAGCTTTTAAGACTCTCTCTTTATCTTTAATCTTGGGTCTCTCTTTATCTTTAATCTTGGGCATTTTAATTATGGTGTGTCTCTCTTTGGGTCAAACTTTTATTTGGAACTCTCTGGGCTTCCTGGACTTCCTGGAAGTCTAGTCCTTTGCCAGATTGAGGAAGTCTCTCTTCATTTATTCAAATTAAGCTTTCGATTTCTTGCTCTTCCTCTTCTCTTTCTGGCACACCATTTGATTTGGATGTTGGAGCACATAAAGTTGTCCCAGAGGTTCCTCACCCTCTCCTCCTTTTTTTGAATTCTTGTTTCTTCATTCTGTTCTGGTTGAATGCTTATTCCTTCTGCTCCAAATTGTTGATTTAAGTCCTGGTTTCCTTCCTTCCCTGTTGGTTCCCTGCATATTTTGCTTTATTTCAGTTTTCATAGCCTTCCCTTATTCCTTTATTTTGCGGCCATACTCAACCATTTCTGTGAGCATCCTGATTACCAGTATTCTGAACTCTGCATCTGATAGTTTGGCTGTCTCCTTATTGCTTCGTTCTTTTTCTAGAGTTTTGATCTTTTCTTTTATTTGGACCATATTATTTTTGTCTTGGTGCACCTGTTACATAGTAAGGGGTGGAACTTTAGGTATTTGCCAGGGCAGGCAACCCACTTCCCAGTGTTGTGGCGCTGTATGTGGGGGAGGGGCCAAGGGAACAATGCCACTTGCTTGACTCTTGCCCCACTTTCAGTCACTTCCCCAGCTACCGAAACATGACTTAGGCCCTTCTGGTTTCCAGGTGGGTGGGCTTGTGTATGTTCTAAGACCCTGTGGACCCCTCCAGTGGACTCTCCTGGGAGACTGGGAGTTTCTCCTGGCCCCCTAACCCCCATTGGTTTTTATAGCCAGAGGTTTTGAGGTTTTACAGCCAGAGGTTCATTTCCCCACACTGGAACTGTGGGTTGTGTGGTCTGTCTTGCTCCCCAGTTATTCTTCCTGGTGCATCTGCATGCAAATGTGGGACCGCCAACCCCCACCGCACTCGCCCTGTCCTCCAGCTGCCGCCTTCTGCATGTCCTCTCCGCCTGAATGACCATCTCCACCCCTCCTACCAATCTGGATGAATGTTTCTTTAACTTCTTGGTTGTCAGACTTTTATACAGTTTGATTTTCTGGCAGTTCTGGTTGTTTTATGTTTTTAAATTGCCTGTTATGCTTCTTTTGGTTGTGCAAGGAAACCAAGCTTATCTACTTATGCCTCCATCTTGGCCATTGTTGAGAAATAAATATGTATTGTTTTGATTATGAAGTTAATGCATATACATGGGGAAATTTACAAAAGCACAACAGAAAATGAAGAACCTTTTTAAAACAGAAAAGAACAAAATTTGTATCATGCTGTATATACAAATAATAACTTGCTTTTTCACATAATAGGGTTGAGCTGTTTCTGATGCCATAGCTCTACACCATCACTCTTGGAATATACGTGGTATTCTAGCATATGAATGCACACATTTAGGTATTGTCTATTGTTGACCTTTAGCTTGTGACCAAGTTTGGGCTCTTATAATCAGCAGTTAATAATATTCCTACAGAGAAATCTTTGTGTATAAACTTGGAGTTACTGCCTAGCATAAATTCCTAAATGTTGAAATTCTAAATACAGGTACTCTAAGGTGGTTGTACAATTTATACTTTCACCAGCATCTGTTTTCCTACATCCTCACCAACACTGCTTACTCTAAATCTTTCTTTGACAGACTAAGCAGCAAAAGGTATTATTTTAACGTTGTTATTGTCATTTTCATCTGGATACTACTACTGAGTTATATTTATTGTAAACTATATTATCTTTTGCTTATCAGAAATATTAACCCTTTGCTTTCTAATTTTGTTTGTGTATGTCTGACATGGTATGTACACTTTTTTTGGTACAAATTTTTTTTAAAGTATGCTCCTTAAACTCCAAGTGTAAAACTCAAGCCACGTGTGGGTGGGTGCTTGGCCAGAGCTGCCAGGCACTGTGATAGTCGCCTGATGAAGGGAAGCCTCACTGGCTTGTCTTCATTGTCTTCGGAAGGTCTCTTTAGGAGAAAAGATTTTTATAATTTTTTTTGCCAGTTTGATACTCCCCTCTGACATTATCTCATGCTTCTTGCCATTATACTAAATATTACCATTTTCCTTTCTGTGCCTAATGTTACCTTTCGACTAATTTCTTAGCTGTTGTGAACTGCTTGCATCTATTTTCTTCTTGCATAGGGAGACTGTCAGTAGAGTAATGCCTATTATATCGCCACTAGATGGCAGAATGGAGTAAGTCAGATCTGTAGTCTTGACAGAAGGGGATGCGCATGTGTTTTGAAGGACTCTCACTCCATCTTGTGGTGATACAGAATTATATCAATTACTCTTGCATTCCTAAATGGTCCTGACTGCCTTGTTAGGGCAGTACCAAATTGTGCTTAATTATTAGTAAATACAGAATAAAGTAATAACATTACGATTTATGCATAATTAAAGATAAAAATACTATTGGGTTTTTTTTTGTGCTTTCACTTAAGAGTTTGAAGTGCTTCATTAGCATTGTTTGTGATAAACTCCTGGAATATAAACACACGAAAATTGTAAGGTACGTTTAAATGGCTGGCTAACTTAAGCTGTGTAGCTAAATCACACAGCAAGTTAGCAAATAGTTCTGCCTGAAACATGAGAAACTTAATTCTAGATGTTACTCATAAAAATGGTTTCCCATAATTAGGTAAGGTAAAATAAAAACTAAACTGAGCATCTTATTCAGAATGTGCTTAAAATTTTGTATTATTTTAGAGTTAATGTCAATGAAGATATTATAGTACTACTCAGAAATAATGATATTCTAGTCTCTATAAAAAGCTTGAAGGAAATTTGCCACATGATTAATTAACAGGAAAAACCTCTGGTTTTATATTCTACAATGAGTCTGTTTTTAACTGGGACAATGAAGACATTTGGATAATAGAATGGTTTCTACCAATATACTATACATATTTGCTTCATTTTTTAAAAAGGCAGAATGTGTGTGCTGTTTGTTTTGATTTTTTTTCCAGATAATATTCCAAGTCCACAAAATTGAGTACCTTTCCCAGGATGCTTTAAGATACACTAGACCTTCAGTACAACGTGAACATAATCACAGTGCTGTGATGTTTAGTGTTAAACTTTTCTGGTTTCCAGCTGAATGCCCTTGAGAATAATCTAAGGTAAGGCTGACTGGTCATGAGTCAACAGAAGGGCTCAGAAGGGCTTTGAGAAGGCAGAATCTGCGAAACCCCAAAATTTAGTATGTAGAACTTTGTATGTTTATGGGTTCTTTGGGGAGATGATCCTTAGCTTTAATCAGATTCCTACTAGGATTTATGATCCCAAACTTAACTTGTTCATTAGAAACATGAACTGAATTTTGGCTCTCTTCACTAAGTTGTATTCCTTGACCTACAGAATGCACTTACCTCACAGTGTCCCAGAGATGATGTGTAAAGCATTTAACCTGTTGTACAGTGTGCTGTGAGCTAGCACTAGCGCGGTAAACACTAGCTCTTAGTAGGACTGAGCGCTGGACAGAGTTATCTTCAGGGATGTAAATCTTCATGTGAAATTACATTTTAATGAGTGAAGAAAAGTTAGATTCCTTACACTCATTCGGTTGTCCTAGGATGATGCTAAAGTTCTGAATACTTACCTGCCCTCGTGGTGGCTCACCAACCTCCAGGTGAGAAACGGCGAGGTGCTTAGATCCCGCTGTTTCTGCTGACTGAACAACTGCCAGGTAGGCATTCCTATGAAGCAGTCATGGAGCTGAACGACTGTAACGTCTCCCTCCTGGTTTCTCCCCTTTGTGTGTTTAGTGAATGGCTTTTGCTCATCATGCTTTCCCAACATCGCCGCCACCTGTTACTTTTGCCACATCATGAACATCTGGTCCCTAAGCACGCCGTGGGAATCTGCCTCTCCCAGGTCTGTGGCCCTCCAGTGACCTCCTTGCTGTCACACACACCCTTTCGCATAAACTGAGTATGTAGTCCAAGGACCAGGAG